TTGAGAGGACCAGGTGGATTGAGAGGACCAGGTGGCTTGAGAGGACCAGGTGGATTGAGAGGACCAGGTGGCTTGAGAGGACCAGGTGGATTGAGAGGACCTGTTTACGTAGGGTAGTCTATTGGACGCAGCTCCTGGATTGAGAGGACCAGGTCGATTGCACGTCCTGGGCCCCCCGGGTGCAAGTTCCGGACCCCGTCGACTGGAGAGTTCATGGAAGAAACGTGCCATGGAACCTCTGAAAACACGGTAATTGATTGGCAAGTGGGACAATTGGATCAGGGACAGGTGTGGAAGGAAGGCATTGCAACAACCCAATCGGGGGTTATTACACCAAATGTTAAAGGTACGTGTATTTTCTTTTTTCAGCAGTTGGAATTGCAGGGAACGAGGCGGACAAAACTAACAGGGGCCATTCATCAATCCTACCTCGACACTATACGCGCATGTATAATTAATGTGGCATTACACGAAGAATGCATGTGGGTATCTTCTGTCTTGAAATATAAATATCGAGCAAATCTCATCACCTGTTTTGTGCCCATACCAAAGCCCAAAAGTGAAGCCAAAGGCATCAAACATCTCGGACCAAATTGCATTTTTTTGCATCACCATGCAATAATCATCTGAGTCCAAGACAACGGCACCGTACACTCCCTGAAATCAGTATGAGAGGTGGAGTTCACCACCTGTTTAGTCATCCTTGCGGGGCGTCATCCACGAAACTCTCCACGAACCGATCGCCTGCGAGAGGGGCTTCGGCTCTGCCAGCGAAACCTGCGAACAAATTGGCGGTGACATGCAAAGCATGGTGGTGACATGCGGACATAGACCTGCCACGCCTCAGAACTGATTAAATGTGGTGAGAGTATATAGGTGGATATTTCGTTGGATCATTCTGTTGGATTCGAAGTGATCTAAGACTGACATCATTCGATTGGTGGAGATCAGAGATTCGGGCCAGAAACACCTCTCTTTGCTTGTTTGGGCACCAGGAGTGCCAGTTTCAGATTGGTAGATCCAGCCAGTGGAGAATTGATGGGAATGAGCACCCTCAGGTCCTTTTTGGAACTGGCAGTTGAAGTACTCCCTCGCATCATGAAAGTGGAACATGGCCCATTGGAATCCGTTGGATTATTTCAGGTTTAGTGTAGTTTGAATATTTCTTCACCAGGGGCTGCGGGCTGTTGGCGCAACAAGAGTTCCTATGGTGCCTAAAGGAGGAGGGCTCAGCGCCCACATGCGTGTTTCGATGTGTGAGTTCTTGGGCTCCAGCAATGCCTTTGAGGTGACGAACTGGTCTCTCCTTGGCTCCTAATGTAGACTCTTGATGAATAACCCGAGAGGTTTTGCAGGGTTTTATATATTGATCAAGAGTCGACAGTCTGACAGTCTACATAATTTTATCGCTCCTGACTCCTACTGCCTACTCTGTTCCAATTCGCCTGATCAAAATCAAAACCCATAGTGCACAAGGTCTGGACCTCTATGTACAGTGCTTTGCGCGTTGCCGCAAATCTTTTCCCCCCCCATGGTCCTGATGTTGTTGGCTTCTTTCTTGGACACGCTAGCAGCAAAATGTTTCCTGCTTCGAGATCTGGAGCGGCCCATCTCAAGAAAGTCGAGAAGAGATTGCCATCCAAAATCCAAACACAACGTGAGCAGCCAGGCTCCTAGGCTCCTAGGCTTCTAGGCTCGGTCTGAATCTGACTTCTTCTGACAAATCTGAGGAATGATGAAGAACGCCCCAAGAGTGAACAGCTCGTGTTTGGTTTGCCACATGTGTAATTTGTCTTCTCTTATGTTTTTAACTCAAACTAATTGAACCAGCTTGCGCAGCTTGGTAGAAGAACATCATCTTCTGAACTAACATTGGGGTAGTGTCTATCGCCGAGGGCTTGCTAGAACGCTGGGTCAGAGTCTTCCACTGCTAATGCCCAGATCTACTTGAAGCGAAGCCAAGGCCCATCCCTTATGATATGCTTGAAGGACAGCATCCTGCTCCTATGTGAGCTCTACCGATTGCGGGCGCACTTGTAACGTTCGATGTGCGCGTAGGAAGCTGTTTTGCATGTACACTTCACTCTTGAGCCTAAACAATCAATCAAAATATAGTCAGTGGATGTAAGTGTTTCCAGGAAGCTGGTTAGCTGGAAAATATGTGTTTGAGTGTTTCTGTATGTAAATAGTATGGCTCAAACAGCTGCTATGGAAGACATCTCTACAAAACAGCCAAGTGGTTCCTTATCCTAGGTCGATTGGCGCACGAAATCGAGCACTTCCGCAAGGGCTACTGTTCAAGAAAGAATTCTTACACCAGCTGGCAATGGATCATTCTATGAGCTATACCTAGCGCTTCCAGTGACCTTCGAATGGTGAAGGGTACCCTAATCAGAAGCGGCCGGTGGGTTGCCAGAAATCAATTGAATCTCTTCCATCAACCCAAGGATCAGCACCATTTTGCAAGCTATCTCACCTTTTTGTTGTGTAAATCTCGGCCAATCAAGGCAGCTTTTTGAAGAAACACCCTCCTCATGCTGGAAGGCGCGAATGGAGCGGCTTCAATGACCCCCCGCGGCGCCGCACCCCCCGGCGTCGCGGAAAAGGGATCGATCTGGATGAAATGGATCATTGATAGAGTAAGAAGGCATACACCGTGACACCGTGCAGCACATGAGCCAAATTTATCTCTGAGATCGGGTTTTAGATGGATCAAAGCTTATCACATGCAGAAGTCGACCAAAACGGATCACCGTCCTTGTATACACTTTATATCCATCCTTGTTTGAACCTTGTGAGCTGTCATCACCGTCATCTGATCTTCTAGCCTGGATTTGGTCCAGGAACCTGAGAGGAAAACCATTTAGAACATATGAAACCAGGTTAGGGGATATATGATATATCCATATAGGGAATACATTCAACAAACATGTCACCTTAAGCAAAACCAGGTCTGGTCAGTTATTGGTCCATGTATTCACCAACCGCCAGGTGCTTGGTTGTCTTGGACCCTTGCACGGTCTTTTGACTTGCCATGCGCCAGGTCGGTCGTCAGGAGAGAGCTTGGCATGAAGCTGCTCCACCTGGGAACCCACAATCACACGGACAACACGTGAACACGGACGCGGTCTGCGGTCGCATCCCGCTTGGCGTCTAGTTGCATCGGTCGGTGAGGTCACTGGCAACATAGCAGGGCATGATCCAAGCCATTGGCGAATGCTCGCAGAACAAACAAAAAAAACATCCAAAGACTGACAAGGGAGAGAGAAAACGCACAATGGTGATCCACCACAATGAATGTTCACCTGATGCATGGAACGTGCTCCTCTATGCTCCTCCGCTCTGCTATACTTCGACCCTCGAAACCAACGTTCCGAACGTGCTCAGTCACCACCGTGCGACCCACCACAGGCGTCCACGCGTCCACCGCTCTCCGCGCCGCCTCCGCGTAGAGCGGCATGGCGTTTTGGGCGAAGCGCGTCGCCTGGACGCGCAGCGCGTCCCGCAGCGACTGCTCCTCCGCCTCCTGAGGGCGGCACCGAAGGACTCTGAAGGAAGTGGGGAAAGAGGAGCAAGCAGGACCACAAGCATGGCCAAAGCAGGATGGTGATGGTGGATGGTGGAACGAAGTGAATGTTGGATGGTTTTGCAGCTGGATGGTGGATGGTGAATGTTGCAGTTGCCAAGGGGGCCGTTTTGTGAGAATGAATGGAAGAACGAAGTTGGTTTTGCATGGCTTTACACTCCTGCTAGAACGCTGCCCCCCCAAAATCCATGAGAGAACCTGGTAGATTGGCCGGACCCTGGCTGAAAAGGGGAAGTGCTCATGGAAAGAAACACCTTGCAGTACTATAAACCAGGACCCAGAAGGGATTATTTTTTGGAGACCCCTTCACCTCTAAGGGCAAGTCTACTAGACCGCTGTTAGGGGGCCCTGGAGTAGCGAGCGAGTTTTGGGGGTTGTTTCTCTATGTCACCTGAGGGTGCCCGTCGTCCGTCAGGCATTTTTGGGATCCTCGACTCAATCTCTGTCGATGTCCATGTTGTGCGTGTCTGGTGGCAATTTCTGCTGAACAAATGCCAAACACTGAGACTGGAATCTTTGCCTCCATTGGTTGGTGTCAGGGGTCAATAGAGGTCAATGTGTAAATACCACTCCTATGGAGTGTTTGGGAAGGCCATTTGGCCAACTTCCTGCGTTGAAGTCCATTGCACCACTAGATCATGGACCCTAATTGCGCATTGGGATATGCCCTGCATTGCCCTGCCATTTGCCATAGCTCTGAACATGTGGTTTTCTGGAATGGCAGGCCAATTGCACTGGGCATCCCCTGCAGTATGCATCCTCACTTAGAGGGGGGGTACTCATGACTAGATAACGGTCAACTTGACAACACCCGTGGCCAAAACCTTGTGAGATCTCTTCAAAGTGGTGGGTTGAAGTCAATATGGACAAGGGGCTGTGCACCCTCTTATCGTCCAAAAGCTACCCGTATATGAAGCTTATGCTTATTGAAACTGCTGGTGGGGCAGTTATTCATTCACAACATGAAACATTTGAAACGGACTCCGACTCGCTCACATGCGAGTTCAATGGAAGTGGACTTCTCTCCCTGTTTGTTGAGGAAAGTCGTCTTCCAAGGCTTCCAAAGGGACGATGTTCCACTTCCAAATCCCCCAAAGGAATATCAGTTTTAATGCATGTGTGACGGTGTGTCTTCTTTATTAATCAAGAGTCTAAAGATGTCTAGAGTGTAAACCAGGGTGCTCTCATCCCTGATCTCTACATGACCTGCTCTGCATCCCTCGGGAGGCACGGTGCTCTGCCTGAGACTGGAGCCGCTTTTGCCAGTCATCCACACGCTTTCGAGAGGCCTCCACTTCTTCCTCAGTCGGTCGCAAAGCGCCCTCCAAGAGAGGTGGAACAGCCCTATAGCCCATCCCATATGTACCACTACAGGGTCCTATGTGTGCATGTGGTCTCTCAACCTCTCTTGGGCTGGGAGTGGTTTTCTGATGCACGAGTCCGCTCGGAGTCTGTGGAGAGCTTCCGAGGTCCGTGTCTGCGACCACCTGAGCCAGACACGTGCAGCCCGGGGTACTTCGAGCGTCGACCAGTTGCGGCCTTCCAATGGTTCGGAACGTGGGCAGTCCATGTCAACGTACGCGGTACGCGTACGTCTGCCCTTGGTGGTAGCACAAGCCTTTATGTGCGATTGTCAAGGGCGTCGTTTCTCATCCCGAAGGATGTGCATTGTATTGCAGGAGGGGTCAGGAGAGGATTTACTTTTTTTCCAGTCGAATGATTGGAGACTGAACATATTGATCCACAGCTTTGGCTCATCAACTCAAGAGATGGATCGACGGCTTCGAGGCGACGTCGCCGACGAAGGTGATGTCCAGATCGTTTCAGTCCAAAACCTGCAGACCTTCAATGACCTTCGATGATGGTCCTTTGATTTTCTTGGATTTGCTGGAGGAACATGGGAAAAAAAATCCCAGTTCGGGTAACATACCTGGTCACATAATATCAAACATATACTGTAAATTGTATATAAGAGTATAAGCAAAGCCAAGTCCTTCAGTAGTAGCTTCAGCGGTCCAATTGGGCCCAGGCATCTCTCAGGCTCAGCTCCCAGCGCTGTCGCTGTGCGTGCACCGTCCGCAGCAGCTCCTCCCGCTGCTCGCGCAGGCGAGCAAGCTCCTGGCGCTTCGACAGCTGAGCGACCTCCAGGTGCTGCTGCTCCAGCCTAGGCGTTGGCGGTGCAGGGACCAGCGGCTGTCAAGTCAACGTAGGACTTGGTGGCGTTTGCGTCTACGTGTCTTTTTTAAGCCCACCATGCAGGGGACGGTGAAAAGCCTGTGGAACTCTGGGCGAAGCAGGGGCAAGTGTTGGCAAAGCCCAATGGAAAACCACAGGTCGAGTCACCTCACAAGCGATCACAGGGGCTAAGCAACTGATCTCTTAAGCAACTGACACAGGTCTATGCTTTCCAGGAGCATTTGCATCCATTTTCCACTTCCACGATTGTTGGAGGGAGAGGGTGCGATCGAAAAAGATCCAAAAAAATCAGGCTCCTCCCATCCGAAGGATCCCGGACCTATGTTTCTCCAACAAGAGCCCACAACACAAGCCCTGCATCATCTCCTTCCTCCAGTGGTCAAGACCCCTGGTAGCCCCTCATTAACACTCCGCCCGAACTCTGGAGCCATTCTGTTCTCCAGCTGTGGCTCTATCAAGTCAAGATCTATCAAGTCACCCATGGGTCGAAAGGGAAACATCAATTAAACCTGGTCTTTGCTTTTAAGGCTCAGCACCCCAACCTCGCCTAAAACTCTTCGTCTTTAGTTCTTAAAAGGGCTAACCCCCCTAATTACCCTCGCAACGCCTGATCCCTCTCCACCTCTCACACGCCTCAGGGGTCCAGTCCTCGGTCCTCGGTCCACCCCGCTGCAGCCGAAGGATCTGCCGCTCCGAGGCGTGACACTCCGCTTCGAGGCCCCTCCGCCGCACCTGCCGAGCCTCCTGCAGTCGATGCGGGACGAGCCCACGTTCCAGATGGGCCGATCTGCGTTGTTAAGACCATGAGCCTCGAGCTGCTACATTAGCCACAACTAACCCATTGACACACCACCAACACTTGCTCCAGTTTGGCCATCTTTGGCCGTGCCCCGGCCTCCATGTGCAGCTGCTCCTCGTTTTGCGCCTCGAGCAGCACCTGCTGTGCCAAGCTCACTGCAGGGCTGAGCCGCTCCAAGCGCTCACGCGAGCAACCCAGCTCGGACTCCAAGTGTTCCACATGGGACTTCCTGCTAGGCGGCTAGTACAACAAAAGCAAAGAGAAACTTAAACGGTAAGTGGATACACGGGTCACAAAGAAAACATCACACATGCTGTTTCTGTCACGTGTTTCATTTTTGCACAAGGCCTCGAAAAGAGGGAATGGACTTTGACTTGGACCCTGTAAACTATATGTTGAATCAGAGTCACTCTCTGAGACTGCCCAGTCGGCAGCATCTTTCTTCGATGCCGTTGACAAAGCCAAAAAAAAACCTACAACAAAATATATTAAAAGAAACCAGCAAACTAATTAAATAACAGAGACGTTAACATCATAATTTATAAGCTTAGTTCGAAAAAAAACATGTTGGCTCAATCTTGCCATAGTTACAGTACCCAAACAGTACTGCAAACCGAACATTGCCCGATTCCTGATGATTTCAGGCTAGAATGCCTATGAGCCCTGTGTGCCACATGCGCCAGCATCCTATGACCAGGTGCCACTGGTCCAACCACCTTCGGTTTCCCTTCCAACCGGAAATCGCAGACCGGCGTAGAAGGCTGCGAATCATGAAAGTTCGGCGTTTCGATTTATTTAAAAAAAACACATGAACTCCCAAATGAATGGCAGAAAGTCCGGTAGCTAAGTCCGGTAGCTGTCAGCTGCGCCATGAAAAACGTGGACGGTGGCAAGATATTCTACTTGAGCTAATTGAGTGCATGTTTTTTAATCGATTCCGAAGGACTTGCTGCTAGACTGTATTTCCTGTTATGTAAACCCTTGGACACATTTGCTGCTGTATGGTTGTTTCAGAGAGGTCCACTGCGGGATAAGGATAGGAAGTCATCATGGGTTTTTTCATTGCAACTAGGTGCCAATGTTTTATCTTAAGCTTCGTGAGCTCACACATTTCTGGGCCCCACAACCGGATCGAAAACTTGCTATGCGAAACATTGCGAAACCAGGTTTGCTTGCTTACATGGGTTCATTACGCCCTGGAAGATTAACATGGAACCTAAAAATTACTGGGTTCTAGAGGAAAATAATCCTCCAATGGTCTATTTTCAGGTTCCATGTGGTTCCCTTCCGCGGAGTATGTGTTTTTTTGGTCCAAGTGTCAACTCTTCATCTTTCATCTCCAGCTCTTGCTGCTCCTCCAAGATTTCGTCCCTCGTGGACTGCAAGTGGCGCAGTGCCGCGTTGGCACGTTTGGTAAGGCCTAGGTGTGTGCCAAGGGTTGCATTAAAATGGGACCATCTAAAAGGCTAAGGATTCGGATACGGATAACAAGGGATGAATCATCACTGGATGTGTTGGGAAGGTCAGGTGATCACCAGTGTTGGTGATCACCTGACCGAGAACAAGGTCTTGGACCGTTTTCTTGCCCTTCAAATGATTCCACTGACCAAACGCTTTCCGCCGAGGCCTAAAAATGCCTTGGCAGCCACTAAGCACCAAGTGGGACCAAATGTTCAAGCATAATGGTCTCCAAAAAGGGCAGCCCCTGTTCCCAAAGCAGCTGGGCTCATGCAGCAACGCTTAACGGATAGCAGTAGGTTGAAGCCCAAAACATATCAAAGTTCTTGTATGCTTTTGGGCTTCAACCAATTTTGTTGGATGTTTTTGGGCTTCAACCAACAAGAAAAAACGTGATGCTGCCTTTGCCGTGGTTCCCACATGTTCTCTGCGAAGGAATGAGCGGATCTGTTTTGAGCCAACCATAGGACCATTCTACATCATTCTATAGAAAACAACACCTGTCATCTAGCGACTTAGCGCAACTCTTCATACAGGATGGCAAAAAAAAGAAAACAACAACTTCTTCCAGTCCTTGCTGGTCCCAAATAAAGATCAGTGTCAAATGGTGCATCTTCATCCAGTTGGCGGACTGGAAGTCCGCAAGCTGGTCCAACCAAAAGTGTCCAATGAGCAAAGCGTTTCATCCACTTCTCCACTTCAGCCAGCTGACGCGTGGACGGTCGCGCGGTCTTCTGGGCCTCCTCTTCCGACAACGCTTCGCGCACGAGGTGCAACTCCTGGCGGCGTAGGACCGAGCAGCTTCTCCGCTGCGGTGCCGCCGGGGAGCAGTGCCGGTCCATGGTGCTGGTGGTGTGAAGAACATCGCCAGTCTAAAGCGCACCGACTGTCTGAAGCGACCCTATCGTCAAAGAAGATGAGGTCAAAGTGAACTATGGCCACTTCATTCTGCTGAATTCCTGACAAACACCACTTACATCCACTTACGCGGTGCCGTACTTTGCTCACTGTTTTTTTTTTGGGTGGCATGTGTGGTTTGAACATGTATTGTCCACATGTGTTCCACCGAGCCACTTTGCTATACAGAGAAGTGTCACTATCTCTAAAGCGTTCACATAATCATTTGGCAGGACCACTTGATTTGCATCCCTCACACGGCCCTGGTTCTTGCAACGCACAAATGGCCCCGGATGGTGTAGGAAAGCAAACTGGGAAACAACAAGGGATGTGTTTATTCGAGTGTGAAGCTACAACCTGGATGATGCTGTATGTAACCCACTGAACACTCACAGGACAACAGTCTGACTCAGTGCCAAAAAACACAGGCTTCATATGGGTCCATGATGGTCCATGTGAGTTTTCGGGAGTGTCGATTCCATCTTAAATGATCTTAATCTTGCCATATCCTACAACCCCTATAACTCCAACCACCTCCGTTTCGAAGGTGGTTGGGGTGGGTTTGGGGGGGTCCAACCGCCGAACCCCGAGCCACATGGGACTGTCAGTGCTCCGTCACGGACCAACGACCGGTCGCTCCATGACCGGCCGCGTGCTCGGGAGCCGGTCCTTGCGTAGCTCTTGCACTTCTTCCTCTTGCTCCTGTGGAGCGGGTGTTTGACCCGCCAGCATCGGCACATCACAGTCACAGGATGTCACATGTGCCAATCGAATGGTAGGGAGGTAGTGGGAGGGTGGGAGTCAAAGTGCTTCCTCACTGGGTCCATAATCCATGCCACTGAATGCATGGATGGGTGGTGGATAGTAGCAGGTGCCTTGATGTGGAATGCCTCACGGGTCAACACAATGCATTGACCGCTGCCTTCTGGTGGGCTGGTCCTGATTGAACGAGGGAAGCTCCACGGTCCCTCTCCCTCTCTCTCTCTCTCTCCCTATCTGACTGTCCCATGGCACTGAATCAGCCTTTTCCAGCACTTCTGGACTTGTTTGACCAGTGAAGTGTTTCCTCTTGACGACCCCTTGTATAATTATAATGTGTATTACAAAACACCTTGGCCAACAAAGGCCAAGACAGTAGTCCTGGCGGCTGCTCTGGAGCTGCTGCTGATGCACCTGCGATGCCGGCCGCCGTCTTTTCCCAAAACACATGGACCTACCCAAACACGACCCATGGGACTGCCATGGGGCTGCCGCCCCAACCACCCCAACTGATCAGCATCTATGGCATCTATGGCAGTCCCATCAAGTGGGCTAGGACCGTACGGCCGTCCCGATCCCACCAACTCCACCGTTCGTGGCACCAGTCTTAGAACAAAAACGTGTTTTTCGTCCCCACACTCTTCTCCATGCTTTTGATGCACACAAAAGCTGCACAGAACGAACAAACAATTATATAACCCCGTTGTTTTGCTGTTTGGGGTATAGCTTTGGAGGGTCACAGGCGCCCTGCAGTTCGAACCACAGGAGACAAAGACCCTGTCCACATCCCACTTGCTGGAGAAAGGGGCCCGAGACAGAGCGTCTGGGCATGTCTGAGCTCTACAAGAACAAACTGAGAAAAAATACCGAAGATATCCTTCAGGCCAGTGACGTTCTTGTATGGTATATCAGTATATCACATGGATATTCTGCTGCCAATTTATCAATTGAGCTAATTATATTTGTAACATGGTATATTTCTTGCACTTCAAGCACTTTGCGCTTCTTCCAGGTGGAGTTCAGTCAAAGGCACTGCGGCCATCTGCAGCGCCCGCGCGTCGGCGGCATTCTTCGCGCGCCGCAGACCGCAAAGCTCTAAGAAGTGCTCGGCACGTAACCTCAGGCGGGTGCCCAGGCCGCCCCCCTCCCCTGCAAGTCCATGACCCTACGTATTGGGAACCAGGTTGGGCACAGAAATGTTTGGAAACATCTTTAGGGAACTGGAACCTTATGGACCCAGGAAGAGGTCACAATAACATGCGATGTATCATGGAATGTTCAAATGCTGATGTCGCGTTGTGTCATGGTCAAAACTTACCCTTACCAAAGCTGCCCAATGAATGGGTTTGTACAACAGACCTATATGGTCATCAATCCCTGCTCAAGACCTCAAGAAAACTACACAAGTTGTCTGTACCAATGGATGCCCATCCATGCTCTTGACAAAACCAAAAGTCTTCTGGAAAAAACACACATTGCCTGACGTCTGAACGTCACTTGCCGGCTACGGCAGCCGGCTACGCGTGGCTTTGATGGATGCAAGAGAGCATACATGAGCATACCGCATGCCCACATTCATGTTCCTGCCATTTTTGGTTTCAGCATCACAGCAATGCACATCCCAAAACCACCCAACCATGTTGTATGGGGAGACCGGGGGATCCCCGGTAGCGTGTGTGACGACAGTGAGGACCTCTGCGTGACGACACGAGTCGTCGAAGTTCGTTGCCGCCCAAGTCACTCTTCCACTTGTCGCTCCAAGCGTTCTTTCGCCGCAGTGAGCTGCGCATCACTCACCAACTCCGGCACACGCACGTGCGGCCGTCGCGCTGGGACGGCTGGCTGGGTGACGATGGCACCTCAGTGAACGCGGCAGCGCAGGACCTGGATCCGTAGTGGATGAATCAAGCACAGAAACTCCAAGAATCTGAGACCTTCCATATATTCATCAATGTCTCAAATCACAAGTCTCACTTGTGGATAAATACTTGTAGGATAAACATGGGAGAAAAAAAAAATATCTATAAACCTCGACTCACCAATAATCACATCTAAAAATAACGAGCCTTTGAAGTCTAACCAGCCATGTTGCCGCCCAGGCGTGGCTCCTCCGCCGGGGGCGGACTGGCCAGCGCGACGACCAAGGAGTCGGAGGCGGCCACCTGCCGCTGCCGCTGTGTTGAACCGCGCGTCGAACGATAGGCAAACATACACAAAGGCAAGGCCAAACAAGAAGAACAAAAACCCAAGAACAAAACGTTGAAGCAACAAGAACGAGTTACAAGTTGGACAAAATTAGAAAACCCAAGGACATATAGAAAAGCAAATCTTCACCAACAAGTGAGGGTGGGCCTCCTGTGATCATCCCAAGCGTGTTGCTAGGGAGTAGGGATCACGTGCTCTGTTCTGTTCTTGGTCTCTGACACAGGAGGAGCCCAGCATGAGCCCTCAAGGACTCAAGCACTCTCCAAATAATATATTTACGGGGCTGGCGCCCACCAGCGGGCCAGCAGGCCCACCAGCAGAGATAGTGCATTGTTGTTGTCGTGGTCGTTGGTGTTGCTGTTGTAGTTGCTGTTGTTGTCGTTGTTGTTCTGGTTGTTGCTGGAAGAGGTCAAGAAGAAGAGCAAACAAAGTTACAAATTGCTGATAATGCAAAGAAGCTCGGGTAGCATATCTCGCACCACGGGCCATTGAAAATTTACGTGTTTACGTCATGGAGGTATCCCCTGCTTTGGTTCATCGAACCCATGTCACAAAAGTGCCTCTCTCGACGCTGTCCCCAGTGGATATGGTCGGCGGCTAGGAGCGAACACCCTACTCCGGCCAGGGGCCTACCTCTCCGAAGGAGAGAGAGAGGGGCTCCACCCCTTGCCGCCGATGCACCGCCGACCCAGGGGGTCAAAAGCACTGTGTTTTACAGGGTTTTGGCCCTTCGGCCGCCATGGATTTCATCTTGGCGATGTAAAACAACATCGGCTTTTACGGCTTTTACATGGTTTTGGCCTCGGAGAGGGCGTCCAGGACAGAACAAGTCGCATCTTAAGAGTATGTCAACATAAATTGCGCAAAATACACCCAACATAGCTACATAGCCCCAAGACGGGCTCAACATGGGTCCAAGATAGGCCCATGGGCCCAAGGTAGGCCCTCAAGACCACAACCACAACCCGAACCACCGCAAGAACAAGAACAAGAACAAGAACAAGAACAACAAGAACAAGAACAAGAACAAGAACAAGAACAAGAACAACAACAACAACAACAACAACAACAACAACAACAACAACAACAGCAAGAGCAAGAGCAAGAGCAAGAGCAAAAGCAAGAGCAACAACAACAACAACAACAACAAGGTACAAACAAAAACTGCAACCCCGTTACACCACATCTTCTTTCTTTTTCTCTACAAGGGGGTAGAAACAAATTCTGCAACCCCGTCGTTGTTTTTTGATCCCCCCAAAAAAACAACCAAACAACAAGCACTTTACTGGTACTACTACTAGTGGTACTAGTGCTACTGCTACTAGTGGTAGACACCCCCCACCCCGGGACGTGTGGACAGTGCGCGGGGCGTGTGCGGAGGCGGAGGGGGTGGAAACCCGGTTCTCAATCTATGCACTGAAAATCAATCTTTTCTTGGAGACTCCTGGAAGTTTTTGGATTCCAATGGAACAATATGGTCGATTTAAACGCCTTCTTAGGGTCTATGAAACTCCTCTGAGGGTCATGCTACTGGTGATGCTTATTGTAACTGGCTAAGTAAACCCTGAAAAACTTCTACTTAGAACCTCTACCACATCCTAGAAACAAAAACTGCAACCCCGTGGTTGTTTTTTGGACCCCCCCTTCCAAAAGATGTTGTTGTCTCTACCCCCCCTAGAAACAAAATCTGCAACCCCGTTGTTGTTTTTTGACCCCCCCCCAAAACAACACAACAAAAAACAAGAAGCAGACCAACCAAGACTTGAGTACCACAACAACAAGAAGTCCAGCTACTAACATCTCTCCAAACCTTCGACCCTATCCCTAACAGAATCCCATTGAAATCCCTGACTTGCAACATGTGACAACTATGTTGGGCGGCTGTTTTTTGTCACCAACAACAACAACAACAACAACAACAACAATCCCTCCTTCCACTTTCTTTTTTGCTCTTCCCTTTCCCCCTGTTGTGGGCCCCTAGCCGGCTGTCGGGCGTAAGCCCTGAAATACCTAAAGGTCGAGGCCTTCGGTCTGGGCCTTTGGCGACAAACAGGGCCTGCTGGCCTGATTTCCATTTCTATGCTTAGAAGGGCTTGCAAAGAGGACCAGGTCTAGTCTTAGTCTACTCTGTGTATCCTTCATTGAGTCTGTGCTGCCTGCAGGACATCTCCATGTGCGATCCAAGGGGTGCCCCTCTGACCGCGACTGGCCGCGACAAACAGCGGCAGGAAAATCAGCTCGTGAGAAATCGTGACGCAAAGGAGCAGGTCCTGAGCTGACGATTGGATGCACCCCATTGCCCCACCTCCCTAGATCCACACCCTCTCGGCGGATGGAGATCCCAGCATATAGTGACACATTCGTGGCTCCGAATCATGGTATGGTGGGGTGAGAAGGGCCCCCCGTTGGCCATTCGCAGTTCATGGTGTTCCGAAATCGGGGCCGTGCCATCCAACTGAAACATGATGGAAGAAATCCATGCACTTTAAGGATCTTTAAGGGAATCATTCTATAATGATAGGGTTGATGTCCAAACACACTCCCCTACACAATGCAAAGCACCAAAGTCATGACTTGATGACTCATGGCTGAGTCTTGCAGTGGTCCATTTTCTAGAAGTATTCTATTGTAGATGCACCTTGAGTCGAAAACTCCAACGTCTGCCACAGCATGCACGGCACGTGGTGACTGCCCGCGCAACAGGCGGGGGCCCATGTTTGAGTTGTAGAATGGCCTGTAGTCTTGTATATGGACTCCCTTCATGTTCCGGGTCATGGGATATTCCCCAAACTTCCAAGTTCTACCCTTGGAAGCGCAGCGTTGAACTTCGCCAACTCTGCCTTTGCTTCAGGCCCTACTGGGAATCACGCCGCCGCGTTGTTTGGTTTGCTCGTGGTTGGGTCTCCTGAGCTTTCTCAGGTCTTGTGGTCAATCAACGCCTTGGTGTTTCAAGCCGGGTCCCTCCCTCCCCACCGACCTTCACCACCGCCTCGGCCCAAGGTGCGCCGCTCAGCGCAATCTGCGCCACCACCGCGCCCTCCAGCGCCACGCGCCGCGGCCGCGCCGCGCGCGTGGCGAAGCCCCACACGATCACGTCGCCCTCCTTGGTGAGGGCGGCGGAGCCACTGGAAGCTGCACAGCGCATGGCGCCTGCAGGAAGGTGGGCAGGTTCCTGCTCCACCAGGAGATAGCTCAGCTCCAAAGCCAGCCGGATCATTCTGCAAGCTTGGGATGGTGTGCAATCAATCTGCCGCTTGAAAGCAGCAAGAGCAAAATGTGATGATGACTTGATGTATGGATGATATGGACATTATGGACTAATTAGGTTGTTTCTTGCTTCTGGTCACCACCAGCAACTTCTCTCCAAAAGCCTCCAGAGAAGACCTGTTCCAGTTTAAGTTCACACCTCAAACCACTGTAACCACCGTACCTCGCTGGAGAATCCCGACGTTGCTTTGACCAGACTGCTCTCAGTGGTCGTCTCAACCGCATGGGAGACTTGCCCATATTTTGCGGCTTTCCTAGCTGTTCATTCTTCAGCTGCAAATCATCAAACATCAATTCTATCCCCTGGCCAATCATTGGTAGTTATATAAAGCCAGTCTATACCCCCTTGCGACGTCGCCGCTTACAGTAGCAGGCCGTGCTTTGCAGGATTGGGCCCTGACATGCCCTGACCACGCTTGGAACACAACGAGTCACCACAAATCATTCATTCACAATAGTTCACCTTTCTTCACCATACAGCATGGTCGCACACCCAAAGATCCCCAAACACCCAAAGATCCCCACGATCTGTGCTCCACTGAGCTTCCGCACCCAACAAGTCTTCCACCAAGTTCGGTGCGCTCCGGCCCTCGACGTCGTCGTCGCCCAGTTGGCCCTGGGAGTTGGCACCCCAGGTGAAGCAGTTGCCAAAGCCTGCAGAGGTGCCGAGAACACCGGAGGCGTTGTGGCTGTGTTTTGGCTGCGGAATCACCATGGGGCGCGCCAGGCGTTTCGGCGTTGTGGCTGCCAAGAATGCGCCAATGGTGGTGGATGTTTTTTGTACTTTTTCTTTTGTGCTCCGGAAGGCAGCTGTTCAGCTGTTGGCCAAGTAGCTGGTGATGGCACAGCTGTGCTCCTCTCCTGGATGAGGTTTCAATCGTCGTTTGGGAGGCATAACAGTGAAAAGGAGGAAACTCTTCAATTACAGCAGGGGAGTGTCAATATTTACATAAAGCAATTCAGAATAAATGGGCCTCACTCAACCTCAACTGCCAATGGATTACAGCATCTCTCCTTGCATGCGCTGGAAACAGTATATAATGTACAAGTATGTATTACATGTTTATCATGAGGTCACTGAGGTCTGTTTGAGATATCCCAATGGATGTTCTGAATAGTGCAACTTGGTGTGCCTCTGCCCCCGAAGTCATATACAGCAGTCACAAAGGGGTGCTTAATGGAGGGGGTGCCCAGAACATCCACTCACTTAGGGACTAAACACCAACTGGTAAGTATGTTTTTTTCTCAGATTGAGCTGCCTGAAGTCCAACTGGGACTTGTGCGGCTTACGTGCGAGTTGCATGCTTCATGGATAGACCAAATAAATCAAACGTGAGCTTTGTTTTTGTGGTTTCCAAAAGAACACACCCAAGATTCAGAGACCCAACCTTTCAGCCAGGAGAACTGTGGATTGTCTATGTTCGTAGAATTCGCCCATCGCTCTTCATCCAAAACTGCAAGGACTCCAAAACCCACAGAGTGGGCTTGCTGGGCTGCAGCCTTGGTGGCTCGCTAGCCAGCGCCGGTTAAGGGGCCGGTCATCAGCGCGTGATTCGGACGCCATCGGTGGGACTGTCCCATCCAACCGTTGGCGATTGGAGAGTCGATGGCGATCGACTCTCAGGTTCTGGCAGGAGACAAACACGGGATACGAGACGAGTCTGTGAACCCTATAGCCTACTTCAAGCTTAAATTGTTCCCATGCTGCAACGGGTATATATATACTGTATTAGTATATATATATATACTAATACAATACTGTATTATATATACTGTACATATATATATATAATATGTATGCTCCATGATGGAGCGCACTTCCGCAGGTGCCTCCATGCAGGGTGTGCTATCCCTCGTATCTCCGGTCCGGAGCTCCTGCTGCAATGTCGCACACCTGGACATGCGCCATGGCTTGGATGCACACCTGGTACCCGCGGTCCATCCATGTGGTCCCCATGGGGAAGCACATGAGAGGGTCGGAGCCGTGTTTCAGCCGGATCTTGTGGTGGTGTCTAGTGGGTTCTACTCATCCCTTTCCCACAAAAACATGAATCACCTTGTTGGAACAACCTATAAGTACAGATTCGGGGGGGACCTTGAGAGGATGCAACGATTAGTACGGAGAAGCAGTTGGAAGCGTGGACATGCAGCTTTCTTGGAAGTTTCGCACCCAGTTTCCAAGTCTGCCACTATGTAGGGCAAACAAATCTCAAGGGCTCCATGTAATGTAATCAAATATCTACCTGCAAACTGCAAACCTATATATTTGCTTGGCTTCAGTGGTATTACATGGTGAATTTAGAGCGGTGCCTTTCGGAATAGCCTCCGCACCTGGCACAAATCAAACAGTGATTGCACAATAACAGTGGGAGGCCGCTGGCGCTCACCCCGCTTTGCCAACGCTTTTTCTCCAGCTGCTGGGATGGCAGGTTTCGGGTCCCGCGGTCGCGGTCACATGATCTGCAGGCCGAGGTGACCAGTCTGTTGGGTCAACCGGGGTTTTGCGTCATTCCTGATGGTTTCAATCGGACGCACCAAACCCAGTCTGGAATTAAACGTAGCGCAACCTTTACGTTGTATCCATGCTTGCCCATATAGTCACGGACCAGTTGTTCAACCCGTCCCCCAAGCGAGAGTCTGCTAACAGGTGTTGTAAAATTGTTTGAGTCCAGCTTGTAAGGGTCCTGCAAGGTGGTCAAATTGACAGTCGAACCAAGCTATATGAATGAAACATTCCCCGTTGGTCTTTCTCCCCACCCCAACCTGATGTCCTTTCCGATTTCAAGGTCGACTTCGACCTCAGATTTCTGAGTACTTAGCGTGGAGGCCAATTGTGACAGGATTGTTTGAACGATCCACATCGCAATGATCTTTGCCTCTGCCTGTCTGATATCCGCTTCTGCTGCTTGTCTGATTTCTTCCACCTCTTTCTGCACATCAGCCAGCATTCCAATACCATCCGATATGGTGGCCGATTCTCGTCTGATCTGCACGTCATCTGGCAACTGGAAGAAGGCGCAGTCCCGCTTCATCTCAGCCACGCTGATGTTCCAAGGCAGCAAAATCGAACCATATCGGTACCAGTCGAGGATGTATCGAAAGCGCTCTTTGTTGCCCTCGACACCTTGGCTGTTATCACAATATTGTACAAGTGTGTGTGTGTGTGTCACACTCTGTCCCCAAGAGTTTGGTTTCTCAATCTTGAATGCAGGGGGCTCACGGGTCTGTTCCTGGCGTGAGCCAACAAAGCTCCAGGTTCAGACTAGGATATCGAAAGAGGACGCTCTTTCGACGTACCTGCCACCGAAACTTTTGGCCAAGCTTTTCCACTCCTCGGTTTTTCTTCCATGGTGGTTCCGCACGTTATACCCCAAAACAGGTTTCCCTCAGCCGCTTTCCACTGTTGCGCTGCTGCAGTCACGCATCAACATTGTTGAACATTTCGGTTGAGCTGATTTTGCGCCATTCCGGAACAGAGTTAACTGCAAACCCATTATCTATAGATAAGTGTGTGCCGCTCTGTCGTCCCACTGGGTGCAGAGTGTGATCCCCGTCACTGGGGCGCTGAGACCACTCCGGACTGCCGTGTAACTGATTCAGCGTTTTTCTGCATGCGTTGGATTCGACTCTTTTGCAGCCGCCCGATAAACCTGTACGTCCAAAAGGGACATGCAGCAATCGACTGCAAACGATTTTTAAGGACAAAAAGACTGCAACCTACTCCAGGCGCCGGTGTCGGCACATTGTGTGTGTCACACTCTGTCCCCAAGAGTTTGGTTTCTCAATCTTGAATGCAGGGGGCTCACGGGTCTGTTCCTGGCGTGAGCCAACGAAGCTCCAGGTTCAAACGAGGATATCGAAAGAGGACGCTCTTTCGACGTACCTGCCACCGAAACTTTTGGCCAAGCTTTTCCACTCCTCGGTTTTGCTTCCATGGTGGTTCCGCACGTTATAATACCCCAAAACAGGTTTCCCTCAGCCCCTTTCCACTGTTGCGCTGCTGCAGTCACGCATCAACATTGTTGAACATTTCGGTTGAGCTGATTTTGCGCCATTCCGTTCCCTCACCTTTTCAACGTGGAACAGAGTTAACCGCAAACCCATTATCTAAGTGTGTCAACCTTTAACTTTTTCTTGGGTTGTCGCTTGTTTACAATCCTTCAACCTTGACTATGTAAGGCCAGGCAGAATTACGTTAGGCGGGGGTGCTCAATGCCTCTGGCGCGACTTCCAGGCCCCGCCGTGGTGCTCCAAGCTGGTCCAGCAGGGAATATGTAAATGAACAAATATCAAAGGATTTTCTAAAAGGGAACCCATATCTTCAGTCAATCAGCTTCAAAAGAAACTCTATGTTAAAACGCATCAGCCCCACGCATTTCCTGTGATACTGTGGACACCAACCGGAAACATCTGCAGAAGAATATGTGGCGCAAGTTATTTCAAGAAATGCATTTTTAGCACCATGCCAAGGGAGATACCATCTATTATCTATTCAATGTAAAAACAATTATGTAATGTAATCAACAATGTATATGTCATCTTCAAACCACGGACCAAATGAAAAAGGTGCACAAGAGAACTTTCTATAGCACACACCGGTGGCAAATCTCCTTTGTCTTGGTTCTCCAATGGTCATCCAACAAAGTGACCAACAAGGTGTCGCCCTTGGCCCGAAGTGTCGGCTCCAGGATCTCAAAGTGTTCCCCATCTACACGGAATCGCACCAACTCACTTGGTGGATCATCTGCTGAAACTTCGTTGGTCCTGGGAAAAAGGATGGTGCTATGTAGGTGGAATTGGTCCTGCTTAAAAAGGGCAAACCTAAAATCTGTACAAAGTGTGAAGGCGACCAAATCCAAGCCCTGAGAACTTGAGAGCGTAAAACGTGGCGAGGCCAACCAAATCCAAATCCTTTCCGTTGAAAGTTCAGGCTCGTTTGCAGGAAAACCTTTGCCACAAACCATGCTAACTATACACTCTACAAATTCGTTTCGCCAGGTTCGGCGAAGTGTGTCTCGCTCTTTTGGACCTCTCGCTCATGGCCCGCGCTGAGCCGAAGCGAGGCTGAGCCGGCGTCACGGGGATCGTTTTTGGGCTAGGCCCTCTTTGGGCTACTCCCATCGACGGAGTCTGAGCCAGCCAAGGCGGGTGGATCTAACTATAGCTAGACTTAGATCCCTAGGGATCCAAGTACCTTCTCAGCAGGTGATTGGAGACACCGCTATGTAACTATGTAGGTTTGGAGGGTCCAAGTACTTGGATCCCTAGGAGATCAAGAAGGGCTCACGACTTGTATACCATGTCTAAAAGGAACAAGTGCTCTGACAAAGAAGCTTCAATTCTGCAAGCTCGCTTCGCAAAGCTCTTCTGGGCGGAAGGGGGCCAAAACTGCCAGAGTTGGAGTTGGGAGCACTCAGTGGGCCAGCTAGTTGGACTAGCAGCCAGGCCTACCAGAACCGCTAGTGTTTGACAGCTCCATTTGTATAGATTAAATATTTACCACCCAGCCAACAATCATGGCAGTGGACCATTGACCACTTTCACACTAAGCTGCTTCAAATGCATATACAGTAATATACAGCGTTATAATGTACCTCTTTTTCTGGGAGCTCGTGTAGTCATTCTTCATTGCACAACCCTAAGGTTTCAGCCAAACGTTGCCCACTGCTAACCCCAAACAACAAGGCACAAAGGTCTCAGCCACGGCGCTGGGATACGAGTTTCTTGCAACTCTCCGAGGCCCAGCTGAGGACCAACGCCCATGGAAAAGACCAAGCCTCCATAGCGAGCCGGCGCCAACAAGCAACGTCTGTTGAATAGGGGCCTTCAACACGAAACCCCGACTCTCCTGCCTGTCTCGAAGAAAAGGTGGTTGTTGATCTGTGGTGTTTCACTGAGCAAACACACCGATCGAAGATCGGCAACGATTCACGTAGGTTGTGGCGGTCCATGGTTCATAGATGTTCACATCAAAAGAAACAGTCAACCCTACTATGCAATGCATGTCCTATGCAATGCAATGGTTCATAGATGTTCTATGCAATGCATGTCCTGTCTTGTTTGGGGACCACAATTCCAACCTCGTCTGCCCATGTCATGTCTGCTTTTCTTTCACGAAGGCCGGGCCCTGGCCTTCAAGGGAGAGCAACAGCGAGTGCTTTGGACCACAGGAGACGCGGCCCACGGAGACTGGCAGTTGCAGTTCTTGCACACGTCCAAACGTGGCCTCGAGGACGAAGAAGGGCCGGTCACAGGCGGCCAAGACGGTCCCCACGTCGTCCCGAATCGAGCTGGTTTTGGGGGCTGATTGGTTGGGTGTTGAAGCTGATGATGATTTGCCTTGCTGAAAGGTAATTACTGTAGTTTCTGTGGGTACTGAGGCGGTTTCCAAAAACACCTGGAAGCTCCCATTGATCTGAGTGGTGAACTATGCTCCTTCACGTGGTGGGAAGTTCTTTTCTTCAGGGGTTGACAGTTGTCTTCGGACCCACCCAGCATCCACACACTACAACGAAGTTTCCAACCCGTAAACGATTTATCATTATTTATTATTCTTCCCTAGGGCTCCAACCATATCCTCAGAAGGTGGTTAGACCCCCCTGGCACCCACCCCAACCACCTTCTGTAGGGCTTGCCGCGGCTTGCCCACCTAACTTGGCAAATCCGGGTCTTGCAGCAAATCTATCAAAACTAAGTCGTGCACTTGCAGGACTCCGCCACTTTCACTTTTGCAGAAGAATGATTGATCAGCAATAGCATGGTGCTTTGGTGGGTGGCTTCAATTCACTCACAAGGGTATGAGTCAGTGGGTTCACAATCATCCCAAGCAAAGGTTAATAAAGTACTAATACAGTAAGCCACCCACCACGCGCGTGGTGGCCCCCCATGCAAACATCAGATCGGAAGGTCGCCCCGTGCAAATCCCTCGTGGATCGCTGGCCACTTGGACTCCAGCCAATGGAAGACCCCCCAGCTGGACCCACTGGTCACAGGGAACATACCCTAGGGATCCAAGTACCTTCTCAGAAGGTGATTGGAGACTATGATGTGTAGGCTTGGAGGGCCCAAGTACCTTCTGAGAAGGTATGTGGATCCCCAGGGATAGACCAAAATCCGATTGAGAAATCTCCCAATTCTGCTACAAGCCGAGCCCATCCCAACCAGCTGGGATAAGTGATCAGCCCAGGTGCCACCATGCCGCTGCTGCACAGCGCCTGCGCCTTCCGATCGCCTGCGTTTGCGCGCTCGTGGAGGCCGGCTGGGTTCAGAACCTGGCAGAGTCGGTGAGGAAAGGGATCCGTTTTCGTACCGAACCTCAGGTTGGGTACGACTGGACCCTCCTGGCACCGGCCAATAACAGTGCCTCCACACATCACCGTACCTGAGAAGGTACGACTGGATCGCTAGGGGGATCAAAGCGAGTTGGGAAGTACATGTGGGTTGGTTGGCAAGAAGCTAGTGAATTCGCTTTCCAGTGATTATGTTTTCCAGAAGTGTTTGGGCCACCTAGACCCAAAACATGAATTCTTCACTCTGACACCACCTCCCTTCATCCTGTCTGTCGAACTCGACCCGGGTCAGCGCCTCAAAGGCAGCTCCTTGTGTGGTGATGGCCACCAGCAACTGCCCCATGCTGGACGCTTCCAGAATCTCATGCTCCAGTAAAGGCTCCACCAGCCGAGGGCCTCCACTTTCACCATAAGGCTCCATGAGGTAGAGCCTCATGTCCGATGCTTCTTCCACTGAAAACAGGAAGCAAAGTTAGGCTTCGGCTTGCGTGGCTGGGCATGGAGGCCCTGGACTTGTCTCGAATCAAAACCATCCTATTACCAGGGCCCCCTAAGGGGTGTCTAATTATAGCTCCTCAATCAAATGTTAAGGGGATTTAAGGGGTATCCATTCACCACCCCAAACAGAAGGCCCCTGATACCATTTCCAACCATCTCCCCCTTCAGAAGGGCACTCCATCCATCAGATCCGCCGGCTCCCCCCACCCGAAACCAGCGGCTTCTTCCCCCGGCTTCGTCCGGCTTCGGTCCGGGCGGCTTATGGTCCATGGTGACGAAGGCAATGAGTCCCAAAGGTCCGGTCCCGCACTGCACGGAGCGCAGTGGAACCACCGGCCTCGTTCCGCGTGACGACCGGTGCGGTCGGACGGCGGGCTTCCGTGGAACCAGGCAGTCCGACCGGGGTCGAACATAGACATCTAGTAGACCCATCCCAGACACGACTAATGGGGAAGTGGTATATATTATAAGATATATGCCTATTACATTAACCCCCCTGGCACCACCACCACCCCAATGTATAGATGGCAGTCCCATGGAGTGTCTGGGCATTGCTTCTCCCTACATTAAAATACACCCAGCTTCAATCCGTCGGTGTCTCATGCTCCACATGCTTTCCAAACCCCTTGAAGCAAACCAACACCAACAACCGGCTAAGCCCCTTACGAGGCCTAGCCAACGACGAATTTCTGGACATCTCTTTTTGATCGGTTCCCATTTTGGAGGTGATTTTTCCGTCCTGAACAGGTCGCGAGGAGTGCTCGCTGCAGTGGCACTGGTGCGAAACGGTTTTTGATGGTTTTGTCTCTTCTTGAAAAGGCCCACAACCGTTTGCCAAACGGAGGTTGAGAGATCCAGTTCTTCCGACGTACTGTGAATCACTGTCAGCTTTAAAGTTCCCAATGCGCTCAGATGTGCTCAGTGTGAGATGAGCACATCTTACCAGTTTGGTGAGACAATCGACTGAGTTTTGCAGCTTTGGGTGGAGCTTTATTACTAAGACCTTGAAATACCTGGCTGTACGTACTGAGACCGACCGACCGATTTGGCCGGGGTCTTGTTCGGCACAGGGGCTGGCGCCCCATGGGTTTGATCCACAGAGATGTGGAGAAAAAAACAAAAAAGGGCTCCGGTTGGCGCAATGGAGGGGCCCAGGTTCAAATACGCTCTAGTTAATCTCTTACAAATTGATTCATGGACCTGACCAACCCACAGAAAAAGAATAGTGAATAGCAATCTTCTTTCGCCAACTGCGAGCAGTCATCTTCCAAAATGTGTTGTCCGTATTTGTCCGTGATTCTCAATGTGTCCGTTCTGAACCAGGTAAAAGTCTAGCTCAACCGTGGCCAAAACATCTAAAACATGCACACAGCAACAACAAACACAGGCACACACATCAAGCGCCAAGCATCTGGAACAACTCCGGAGCCGGCCGCTCCACTGCGTTCACGTGAGTCCCGCGCGTCTTCCAAATCAGCACCTCCGGCGTCCGTGGAACCGCGCGCCCGTCCGCGGTGCTCGCGCAGCTGCCGTGCAGCGCTTCCATGGTGGAGAGACCATGAAGTCCACACGCATGGAGCGGTCGCGATTTCGCTGTCACAGCACCCTCCAAGACGGTCACCCACGAGGTGAGCGAAAGCGACCGGTCAACCGGGTTTCGGGTCCAGGACCGTGGTGTCCGGTGTGTAGGGGTGGTGAACGGTAGGAGGTGACCTCCGTTACGCGGTTCGGTATGACTGGACCCGAACATGGCACCGGCCCCCAGTCCCAACGAAACGAAGGTATGACTGGAGCCCCAGGGTGAGAGAAGTTGTCACTCTTTTGCTGGCTTGGAGCGTTTCAAATGATCAACTCTCAACTCTCAACTCTTGGTCACTCTTCAACTCTCTCTTGGAGCGTTTCAAATGATCTAAACCTGCCGCCAAACCACAGGTGGTCAACTTTCAAGGGGCCGTGTTTGGGAAGCGTGGTAGTTAAAAAGTGCACAGGAATAATTACTCTGCAAATACTTTAAATTGGCCGTAGCACACGGGAGGGTTCCATATAACTTGCAGTAAGGATTTGCCATTAAAGAGGGGATGGGCAATTATCGTTTGCCCTCATTTGATACAGTCCGTATATGTTCCACACGCAGCAAAGCAGTCTTTGGAGCCGAAAGAACACAGATCTGGCATGCGCAAGTCGGAATTCCTAATTGAAGCTTGGAGTTGGTTCCAGTCCCCATGCACAGACTCATTGCCTATGTATGCCTATGTATTATTGCATGAGTGGAAACACAAACACAATCATTCCGCACATCGAGGCTTCAATGCAATGGACTGATTATCCACTTCAGATATTCAACCTATAGAAGAAACGCCTTCAACCTTGCCTTAAACCCAGAACCCCCCATGTTTCTTCACCCTCCTGCGATCAGAGTTTGCAAGCCCACCGGTTTCCTCACCCACTCGCGACGCGTGAAGGGCGTCTTCTTTTCACCACCCAAAAAGTGCTGTGCTCAGTCAGATCTCGTTCCGCTCGCCTTGCCGGAGGGGACCAACATAGGAGGACGCTCCAGGCACCGGTGCACATCTCTGCGGCTGTGATGTACGTTAGGTTTGCAATTGGTCAAGAAATAGATTCAGATCCAACACCCTTCAGATTTGGATCGTTTTTTTGGGGATGAAAAAAACGATTTTGGTCTCTGGCTTGACCATCTTGCTGTCTTTTTTTTCAGATGTCAACCAACCCATCTGTTGATGTTGCTGCACACGTCTGTAGGGTTGGGTCACTCATGGTCACTACTTAAGTGTAGCGCGGCTCCTTGGACGCTGGAGGACGCTCAAACGACCCGTGTCCGCCCGTGTCCCTTCTCCAGCAAAAGGCTAAAAAGCATGTTGATTGCTTTTTGCCACCAAGAGACCGGTTTGTCACCTTGTTTCTCACTGGCCCAACTGAAAGTCCAAGCTCATGGCCCATTGCCTTCTTCCACGAGGAGTTCGTTTGCGTCTTCACCTCACTCCCAGAGTTTGATAGGCTGCTCTTGGAGGGGCCCCTCGCAATCAAGAGGTATCCATCAAAGCAACAGGAACCCCCTGTTCCATAAGGTACGCAGCGTCGCAGCATCCCGCACTCGCCTTTTTGGTGCCTTTTCGACGCGCCGTTTTGGGAGCCACAAAATTCGTACCGCCTTTTTGGGAACGTCAAGGAGGTGGCTCAGAGCGACCCTGGACCATGAAAAGCTCCTGATAGGATGTGAACAACTCCTTGCCATGATCATGTGGGTCGGAGTCACCCTTGGGTCGTTCCTTTTCAAGCGGGAACCGCCATGGCATCCGTCATGGCCAATGGAATGTCAGTGTGCCGAATTGAGAGATAAGTTCCAGCGCGCAGCAACGGAGGTGTCGGATCGATTGTGTGATGTGTTTTTCCGCCTCCTTTCTGTGGGGAGTGGGTTTGAAGACCCCCCCTGTCAAACAGTTGTGGGAAAGGAAGCTGCAAGTGCGAACAACCATCTGCTTCTGGATGTTTCGAGAAGAAGGAAAGAATGTCGATAGAACAATGACCGACAACGACCCTACTATATAGACCCTGTCAAAGTGGGTTCAAGGAAAGTCACCTACTTCGAGCATTCTGTTCGGCATACATGTCCCAACGACTCACAAGAATTCTTTCAGGAAGCTTTCCCCTGGGTCCCACACTGTCAACATAATGGTCTTTAGGGTTCTTTCGCAGACCTGACCAGGTAATTCCATCCCTTCACAAAATAAGTGTACAGTCTTTGGGCTTTCAGGGTTTTCATCTTCCTGCTTAGCTTTGCAGGCCTACAGTAGGCTGGAAATGACAAATGTTCCCAACATCTGAGGGTGCAAGCTTCAGGAAGCTCCTTCGTGCGGCAAAAGGGTGTCCCTTTCAGTAACCTGAAGTGATTACACGCTGTCTTTTGCATCATAAAAGCCGCCATAAGCCGCCAAAACCGCCACAGAATCTGCTGCAGGGTTCTGCTTCTGTCCCTCAACTTCCTCTTTTCAAAGGTCCTCAACAGACCTCGCTGCTGGCTCAAGGTCAATGCTTTCAAACAGTGCCATCTGGAACTGGCCGTTGGTCGCGACTCAGTATGGGGAGAAGTCTCCAGTTGATTGGATGACCTCGTGAACGAGACGCGGACTCCAACCTGTAACGCATGAACACCCGCTGCTTCCAAAGCGCGCGGGAACACGGCCACCTTTGCGACCGCTCCAAGCTGCGTTGATTCAAGTATGATGTGGATGCGAAGTCAAAGCTTGATTATATACCTATATAGAAGCATGCCATTGTTGTGAAGGGCTAAGACCCAGGACCTCAATAAATACTGGAAACACCCCAGCTAAGGACGCATTCTGATTCGATTTTCGCACCCTTTGTAGAAATGGTGGACCGTTGCTAGTGTTCACTTCATAAGCAGTTGTTACCTGAGGCAAGCAAGAAACCTCCAAAGTGTTCCATACTGCTGGGCAAAAACCACCAACATCTGCCGAGTTCGGGCCATGCGTACAAATAGATTGAAGATGGGGTGGCCTCCGAAAGCCAAGCCGACACCCCTGTTGGTGCACCGGAGTACATACATTACCATCGATCAATTTGTGGATCATGGCGCCATGCCATGTCGATCATGGGTTCAGTCGACTCTTCACCCAAGCCCATCCGATGCGTGGGTGATCTACATGAAAACGTGTCCTTCGACCGACCAAAAACCAACAAAGCCTAGCAATATGGTGTTTTGAACTAGGCCTTACGTCCCGCGCCTATCAGGCTGGACCTCCACTCATAAGTCACTAGGCTGGTTCTTCACTCAGTTTCAGTTTAGGAAAAGAAAGGTTAAGCTTTTTCCACCTGTTTCGTGGGGCGTCCCCAATCCCTCCAAAAAGGTCGGGCAGGATTTCCACTCAGTGGGTAGGTTAAGCTATGGATGCAGAGTGGCCGGAACAAGGACAGCGGAAGCGGTCGAACTGAACCGAAGGGGAGTCCTAACAACCCGAAGTCCTCAAGATGATCACTGCTGACATGCCAGAAGAATGAAATAGTATACAATATACTTGTAGTCTATGGCTAGACTTGCATAGATGCAAGTCTAAGCCCCTTGTCTTGACACGCCCCTCCTCTGATCTCTGGCTCACCCTTCACTCTCCTTCGCATCACATCCACCCTTGCGAAGGCTCGCTCCGCAGGGTCCCACGGGCCCAAATCAAAGTGAGGCCACGCGACGATCACATTTGGTGGGAGCCCCCCGGCTTCGAATCCGGGAAGCTGCCGATACGACATCTGACACGTCTGCGCCACCGGAGAACGTGTTGTCAAGAGGCATGTGTTCGGCCATGGCAGGAGGCGTCAACAATCAGATCAGGAATGCTTGAATTTCCATAAGGACATCTGAACACATGTTGAAACAATCATTCATATTCATGAATATATTCAACGATCGACGATAACTGTATAAGATAATCACTCAAAGAGGATTCAACACAGGTGTCTGAGTCTCTATGCACCAACAAAAACATCGGGTGTGTCCCTGTCATTATCGTTGCCGCACTTTGCAGGACCTACTGAGCAACAGTCAATTCATCTGGACACAACTGGAACACTGGTTGATACGCAAAGGCGCAGGTGTGGCAAAAAGACCCACTGAAGGTGGGCATGATCCGAAGATAGCAAGAAAATATCTCTGCTTCCATATCTTTCCATAATCGTTCCTAACGAAGGCATAGTTATATACATTACAGCTGGGATCAGGATCTTGGGTTTCCACTGCCAAGTGGATTTTAACTCACAGTTGCCCAAAAAGGCACTGCCGAAAGTGTCTGGACAATCACGGCCTCTATGCCATGGCAGGAAGTGTGTAACCCTTTTGTTGATGCAATGCAAACAACCCATAATGCAACCAATCTTCATACACCATCATCATCCATCATCTAAGAGTCAGTTCCATGGTCCGAGTCCATGGTGTTTTCAAATGTTGCACCTGAAGCCAACTCGTTTGGTCACAGGCAACCACCCCAAACAAGGGTACCCTTCTTCAATCACCTTTGGCACTTGTTCTCATGTGCAAACCCAAACGTAGTGAAACGAACGAAGATCTGACATCTAAGCTTGTTGTAGTAAGATGTAGTAAGTGCTCTGACTGGTGAAACTTGCCTTCCAGCTCTTGCTATCCATCTGGTCCTACTCTAGGCGTGCCGCGGCGCTTCTTGCCTGCAAGTGGGACGGCAAACAGCCTCACCTGGCATGATTCATGCTGGAATGGTGTTCACTGTTCACTGGCTTCCTGGGGGCAAGCTGTGCCCCTCCATGTTCACGACATGCCAGGCTGGTCTTGGTCAGGTCTTGCTTCCCTTGCCTTTCGTCCTAGGTTCGGGGTCTCCGTTGACGACGAGCTTGCAATTCCTGACAGGTGCTGGAAAGCAGGGCACTCGAACAAATCAGAAATACACAGATGCATAAAATGACAACTCAACTCCATCTATAAATGTAGGACCAACAAGCCCAAACAAGACCTGCTGGAAGGTCCTGGTATGAACCCAAAAGTACCGACGATTCTCAGGGTCCCTGCATGTTCCTCAACACTGTCACTGGATTACAGTGGATGGTGATGGATTTTAAAGGACCAACGTACCATTCCATTCATGGTGGTAACCCGTGACTGAT